TCAACAGGAGTGTAGTATAGGTAGTTTTGTAATGTCATACACAAGAGATGCCCCATGTTGTCCCCTCCTATCCATACCTGAATGGCAATCCTTTTGATCATTTCCTTATGAGATGAGAAGGCTAAAGTGGTCCCTGTAAGAGAAGGGTATGGGGTTCAAATGTATCATCTGTGGTAAGGTCAAGGGTCTTTGTTTTATCAGTTTTCAATCTTGTCATTTTGTCAAAGATCTATAACTCTGATTCTTAAAAGAACTTTTAATCAAGCGAATATTTAAAGAATTTCGAGTCTGAAAATTACTCATTGCTTATAACCTCTGAATGTAACATTTAAAATGTTCGATTGTCAAATGACTTACAAACTTTTTAATGAAAAGAGAGAAAATAAATTCAAACAAGACAATATACGAACGCATCAAAAGTTCATAGTGGCTGCAATGATTTTTCTTGGTTTGCACCAGAATGCCCTGTCATTCATCGAATGTCCATGCCCCTGAATCGTTTAAATGTTGAACCTTGCACTTCAATGCCCCACAATTTTCAGTAGTATGCCCCGAGCTTCCCATGTGATAGCTACATAATGCATTAGTATCATGCCCCTCAGGAAATATGGGTTCTTTTGGTTTAGACTAAACTGGAGTCATGAGATTCTTCTAAACTAGGATCGGGAGTAACTCTTCATATGCCATCGAAATTTGACCATTAGGGGTCTTCTTTTGGGTCACTCTATAAGGTTTGGTCTCATGATTAGTTGAATAAGACCTCACTGTATTAACCTCAGCTCCTTTCCTAACGCCAGTAGTGTCAGAGCCTCTGATCTTGCCATTATTGATAGCTGTTTTGATCATTTCTCCACTCATGACAATGTCAGAGAAATTCTTGGTGGCAGTCCCTATCATGCGATTAATATAGGGAGGTTTTAGTGTATGGATGAACATAGTAGAGAAATCATTTTCAGTCACTGGTGGATTCACCTGAAAAGCAACATCCCTCCATCGTTGTGAATATTATCAAAAGCTCTCGTTGTGCCTCATCTCCATAGTTTGCAATGTAATTCGATGAGGGGCCAGATCCGTCATGTGCTTGTATTGACCCATAAAGGCTTGAGCTAAGTCTTTCCAAGAACATATTTGAGTACACTTTAGCTGGTTATACCATTTCGAAGCCGATCCATATAAATTATCTTGAAAACAGTGGATCAACTACTTCTAATTTTCCATGTAGCCAGCCATTCGAAGACAGTACATGGTCATGTGGGATAAAGGACATGTGGTCCCATTATACTTTTCAAAATCTGGAATTTTGAACTTTAGTGGGAGGACCAGATCGGGAACCAAACTTAACTCTTTGGCGTTGCACCCGTAGAATGACTCGAACGTCTCCTTAGATTTTACCACCTCCTCTAAACCTTTCATTCTTGGATAATATTTTCATTTTTAGCTAATTCATTTAGGTCAGGGACCTCAATATTAGTACAACGTTGACTTGGATTCAGCCCAGAAGCAGCAGGACAATCAGTGGGGAATGAAGCTCCAACATTAAATTGTGGGTTCTCGATAGTGAAGCAGACTGTTGATCAGATTCCTTGATGAGCAGCTCAGGAATGTGAACAGGTGTGAAACTCGGAGGATGTGTGGGGTCTTCCACAGTGGTCTTTCCAGCGGTCAAATGTCTCCTAAACATTTCTTCCACCTTGTTCAATAGATTTAGCTGAGAGTTTACGATATTAGCCTCAAGTTGTGCTAACTTGTTCTTCATTTCTTCTTGCTTCTCTTTCTATTCTTTCTCAATTCTGGCTAGCTTATCTTCCATTTCTTTAGGCATTTTCTTTCGTCGTGTAGATGATAAGCATTCTTGCTACTAGTGTGAACCCGGATCACTACGATCGAAAACCTTATCTTATTATCATTATGAATGTTTCAATGCATGATTCCAAAATGTATTAATTAATGCAAGTTTCATGAAAAATGAAAGTATACAAAAGAAATTGATCCCAAAATATTTGTTCCTAGAACAATTCTCGAAAAACTGACATTGTCTCGATACACTGGGAAGTGAAGATCTGGTCCATCTATAAGTTGTTTAGCTCCTGCGAGTATCTGGGTATTGCGTCATCTTAAAAGCTTATACTTCATCTCCTATTTCCAAAAATCTTTTGAGATGGCTCATGATCTTGAACTGTTAGCTTCGGTATCAAATCATCTCGAGTCCAACTTGTTACCTCAGCAGGAAAATGTCTAGATCGTCTTCTTGGTAGGTAGACTCCCTCTAGCTCCTACTTCATCTCTTACTTCAAAAATTTTTTCGACTTGGTTCGTGATCTTCAAATGTTGGCTTCAGCATTGAATCGTCGTGAGTCCAACTTGTTACCTCAGTAAGAAAATGTTTGGATCTTCTCCTTGGTAGATACCTCTAACTACTCGATCTACGTGAAGAATCTTTGAAATCCTACCGATCCCAGAGAAAGATATTATTGTCGTATTGTTTTTCAATAATCTTCTACACGATTAGTTATTTAGGGGTCAATACCTTTGAATGATATGTCATGTTCATGCAAAAATGCAATAAGAGCAGACAATAGAAAACCAATGTTAGTAGAAACCAACCAGAAAGAATCAAGTTAGTTGAAATGATTAGTCCAAGAAATATAATCTTAGCAAAAATAATTAAATACGACTCAAAGCAGACACTGAAAAGCATAAGGCATACAAAGAAAATTAATAATCATAACCGCATGTGTTCTAGTTCTCTTAGGTTGTCCACATGGCTCTAGCGGGGTAGGCTTACTAAATTCTCTATACGTGGCAGGGTTATAGCAAAGGTTCCTGAGCAATTTTTATAACCTGCTAAGGTTGACCCTGATTCTGACCCATTACAGACTTGCGAATCGGGTTCAACTAAGGGGATCACACCACTAAAACATACCTCGAAACTGGTATCTGAATATGAAACTTAGGGTGTTTTCCAAATATACTTTGTCAGACCCACACAAGGAAGCCAATGCTCCTCGTGAGGTGTGACGTTTCTCTTTACTTAGGTAAACCAGGTTTGAGCTTGGACTCAGAGCTATGATATGCAACAATCCTAAATAATTTCACAAAAGTGAAAGCATTAACCAGAGAGAAATACATTTTTTTAAATAACATAATGAACCGTAAATTAAACAAGATCGAACTCATAATTTTCAAATAATATATATGGGGTAACCAACTCGTGGCTCGTCTCTCAATTTGTTTAAAAAACAAAAATTCCCAATAGAGTCGTCAAGTTGTCGGCACCGTTTTTCATCCGAGCGGGGAAAAACCGATTCCGACTCGGGGTTTTTCTCTTTGCAAAGTGTTTCAAAAATGTGAGGAGTCGCCACCAATCATTTAAGGTGAGATTGTAACACCGTAAAAACCAAGTGATTTTAATAAAACATTTTATTTTTATCAAAATATTGAGTTTTAGGGTTTGTGAGTAATCCAAAAATCAACTTCGGGAGTCGGTTACACGTGGGGAAGGATTAGTACCCCCACAAGTGCCCAAAAATTGGTACCTAGTTGATTACCCTATATTTAAAATCAAAAATTTTGGGTTCGATCTTTATTTAATTTAAAATCATTAAGGATGCAAAGTTAAAAAAGGGTATTCATTTATCGAGACCGATAACATTCGTCCCCGAGCGTAAATATGAGAGATCATCTATTGTGCCTAATAACCGAACATTGCCTTATTTTTAGAAAAACATGATGCGATTTTGAAAAGGATGTCGACCTATTTAGGGAATCACTAGTAGTCAACCCTTAGCATGATTGCGGGAGATATACTATTAATTCCTTAATATGTAAACAATGTCTTAGAGTTAAAATAAAAGTCAATCAAACACAATTTTATTCAATCCTAATTAATCTAAGGTAAATTAATTATTTTTCTAACTTAAGGTATCAAATTATGAAAATTAAGGAACCTAGGGTCTCAAATCTAAAAGTAGCTTCTAATATTAATGCTATTTATTTATGTAAATGTTAAAGTTCTAATTAAGCTTGAGGACTAAATGGTCGAAGGATTTAAAACTACAATTACGAGGCCTAAATTAAAATCCTAAAACTTAAGGATCTAAACCTATAAATCTTAAAGTTTAAAGGATTAATTTACAATTCAAAGCCCTAATATTTTTAAAAGAAATGAAATATATTAAGATATTTTAAGGATTCGAACAATCGATTCAAAGAATCGGGCCTTTAGTGAGAAAACACGAATGAATTGTTCCCTAATTAAACTAAAGTTTCCCTAATTTCTAATATGATTCGATATTAATCTAATTTAAAAACTAAATCAAGAGAATTGAAATTATGGAATAAATTAAATAATAATAAACTTAATTAAAATAACAAATAATAAAAATAGTAAAAAAGTAAGTAAATAAAATAAAATAAACATAAATATAAGGACTAGATTAAAATAGATTTTAAATTAAAAAACTGAAATGAAACAAAATAAAAAACAAGTTAGTGACTAAAATATAAAAACACGCTAAAAGCATAGGGGCTAAATAACAATCATCCATTTTCAAGTTTAAATTAAATAAAAATGCAAAAAAGTATATAGTCAGCCCAATCAAATTAAAATAAAACAAAATAGCCATTGTAGGTGACTGAAATACAAAAAACTGAACTTAGGGGAACCTACATGTGATTTTTCCTTTGAGAGACGATTAAAACGCATAACAGGTTAACAAGGAGGACCAAAAAACAAATTAGACCCTACCTTAGTGACCAGGACACAAAATGTATAAAGTATAGGGACCTTTGAGCAATTAATCCACGACCTAGCGACCAAAACGCGAAATCACGCTAAAGGTCTAGGGACCTTAGCGTGATTAGCCCAAAAATTAGAATAACTCAATACACTTCTCCCTGTTTCGTTTATACCTGAGAAAATTAAAACCAAACTTAAAAATTTGAACTCCTCTTTTCCCCTCCTCAACAAGAACAACGACGTCCTACGGGACCCTAAGCCGATGACGCTCCAGCCATCAGGCGTAGAGGTCGGTGTTCCGGTTCGAAACCTATAACAGTTGGAGGAAAACCGATGACAAGCCATAATCCCCAAAGGCCTTCCCCTAATTTTCTTCGACCTAACACTACTCAAAACCACCGCTCCAACTCCGATTAACGGAGTTGTCTCCCTTCGGTAGCCACCAACGACGACGATAGAGACCAAAACCCCCACCTAAACTGAAACTTAAACCGTAAAACACATCTCCTCCTCCTCTCCTTGCTTGACCGAAACCCCTAATCCAAAGGTAAGCCAACTTCTTCCTTTATTTTTATTTGAAAGCAGTAAAAAAAGAGTAATGCACTGTAAAATGAGGAAAAAAAACTTCTTTTTTTTTGCTTGTATTGATATTTTCTCTAATCTGGAAAACCAAAAAAAAAACCCTACAATTGTTTCACTTTAGTTTTGTTGTTCTAATGGTTCCCCCATACATTGTTTTTCATTATCGGGTTACATACCATAACAAATTACATAAAAAAAGATTCCACTTGTTTTCTATTGGACCACTTTTGTTGTTCTTGGTGGCATGGTATGGGCATAGGTATGGGGCTGCTCGTTAGTGTGGAGGCATGGGCACAAGATGTTTGCTACAGCAGTGGTGGCAGGGTATGGGTCTGTTGAATACAAAAAATGGTGCTTACAATCACCATCTTATTCACCACCAAAGAAGGAAAAACACGAATACAAATCGCCAAAGTATGAGAAACCCAAAGAGAAATCACCTTATACACCACCATTTTATTCACCACAACCTTATTCATCACCGCCTTATTCACACACACCTTATTTAAAACCATCTTATTCACCACCAAAATATGAGAAATCGAAAGACAAGTCACCTTCACCAAAGAATGAAAACTCGCCTTACTATACACCACCAGAGGAAATCCCGCCTTACTATGAACGATCTTATGGTTTGTATCCCGCAAACACTCACCACTGAAGAAGCCTCTCACTACTTAGCCATCCAAAACTGGACTATTATGGCTATATATTTGAAGTAATATGCAAGAATAAGAGCTTTTGTCAATCTCATCTTCTATGTATTCGTATAGCTTAAGATGTTTTATTGTTTGTCATGTTTGATGAGAGACAATTAGCGTTGAGAATGCAAATCTCTGTACTATTTAAAGTATCCATTATGTGCCTGGTTCATCATAAAATATATAAAATGTCAATTGTAAGTGTTTTTATCACATGTTTTTCCTCAATACTTTGATGCATATTTCCTCTTATTTTCTTTTACGATCAAAATAGATGTCGAACTCAATTTTTCTTATTCTTCAACGCAAACAAGTAGAAAATGGTGCATATAACATAAGATTTGCCCTTATCACAATATATGACGTATAGATACAATTAAAGTCGTATTTATAATTTGATGAGAGAAAGAGTTATAAGTACATATAATAACCGATTCTTAAATTAACTATAAATGGGTTATGGTCGCTAACACATAGATCATCTCGTATTTTCTCTTATCTTGTCAACGCGTTTATATTAAAGAGAACTCTATCTTCTTGGAAGATTGAACCAAAGAAAGACTCAAAGATTTCATTTTCAATTAGATACGCTTCCGTATTTAGTTTTCTATTTTTGATGATTTGAATTGATCAAGTCCTGATTTTTTTCATATTTATTTATAATTTAGTTCTAACAGATGATTTACATGGTAAGCTCAAATATGGTGCAATCATACCAACCGGAGATGATGGTAATTCACAAGGCAAACCCAGATCTGGTACTCCAACAAGAAGCAATTCTTTTGAAAAACAAAGAAAATCCATGGAGCCTCAGAAAGAGTGGGTTTCCAATAAATAATCGAAGTCGTTGGATTTAACGATACCCTTTGGAAATATGAGGTTTCCTTTCTCTTCTTCTAGTGTTCGTGGCATATCTTTAAGTTTAGTATGATCATGTGGGGCTTCGAAGTGTCTGATATACACTTTGAAAACTAGATATGAAGACACTGATCTCAGTAACCTTTAACTAATGTTTATCATTAATCTAACATTTTTTGGATTAGTTAGCCTCACATATCACACCATAGTATTATGAACTGACGTTTTTAGATATTTATTACTTTAAATAATACTTCAGATTTTTTAATCTATAAATTTGTTTTTAGATATTTATTACTTTAGATTTTTTTTCTTTTTCCCATATATATGGGGTAAGGGAGAGGTAAGATAGTAGGCTACCCCAACACCAGGTTGAGAGCAGCTTCCGTAAGAGACCTCCGAATTATGAAATGCCCTCCGTGGATATTTATTTATTACTTTAGATAATACTTTTAATTTTTTTTAACCTATAAATTTGATGTAACTAATTACAATATGACAATAATATCTTAGAAAAAACTATTAACGCTAAACGGTTAAAATTGATCAAATGACTGTGATCACCATTTTTCAACCCGCCCTTTATTATTGTTATTATTATTATTATTATTATTATTATTAAATTAGTGTTTTTATTTACAAATGACCCCAAAATACAAGCACAACAACAGACCTAGTAATAAAAACCCTAACGACCCATCTATTATAACTCTTGGTTAACCTTAATTTTAGGGTTAGCCACTACCCACTGCCGTCAAGGAGAAGAAGAGTCTCGCCTCGTTGGAGTTGTTCACACCTCCATCGTCGATCTCGTGACCATCACCAACCGTTTCAACCATCCCGTCGTCATCATCTCATCAAAACAACGAAGAAAATATCAAAAAAATCAAAGGACGTCAGAGATTTACCAAACCTATCAAAACCCTTTAAAAACATTAAATCTAAGTTTTAGGAAATGATTTCCCTACTCGAGCTCACTGTTTTCTCACCAAACGACTGACAATAATTTATGAGAAGAAGATATTCGAAAAGTAAAAAGGAAATGGGGAACCAGTTTGAAAAGAGGGAAAAAAAAGAAAGGAATCGAAGACCAAAAAATCAAAACCTTATCTTCTAGCCTTCAGACCGAAGATCCACGTGGTGAGAAGATCCATCCTGTGGCAGAAATATCTTCTTAATTATTAAATTATAATTTAGAATTGTCAAGAATATCTTAATTTTAAAATTTTTATTCAATCCAAATCAGTGAGTTAAATTCATGATATTAAATAGATAACTAAACCCTTACACTAGTAACTATAAGTTCTTATTTAAAACTATCTTCTCTTTGAGTTAGTTGTTGAGTTCTTTCCATGCCTCAAACATCTTAATTTTATTAGAAATGTTTGTTAAGTTTGATGAAATAACCTTCTAGAACTGCAATGAAAAGAAAAGATAGAAGAATGAGAAGTTGAAGCAAATGGAGAAAGTGATAAAAGGGAAAACTACTAACACATTTATAACTGCCCAACAACCTCTAACTACCCAGTTAACTGAACATAACACCAATAAGTGTAATTGATTTTCTATTGTATTTTCTTACTGAAATTAAGCATTTTCTATAAATTGAACAAGAAGTTAAATGAAGTGAAATTGAGGCAGTTGTACCTATCGAGGTTGAAATTCCATCACTTTGAGTCTTTAAAGAAATGGAGATAGATGAAGCGGAATGGGTTCAATCTCAAGTTCATCATCTGAATATTATTGAAGAAAAGAGATTGAAAGCTATCTGCCATAGCCAGATGTATCAAGAATGGATGATGCGAGCTCATGACAAGAAGATTCACTGGACATAATTCCAAGAAGGTGATCTAGTCTTAAAAAGTTCTTGCATATTTACAAAGATTACCATGGGAAATGGATACCTAATTAGGAAGGATCATATGTCGTCAAAAAGGTTTTTTCCAGAGGAGCATTGATTTTGGCAAAGATGGATGGAGAAGTCATGAGAAATATGATAAACTCAGACTCTGTCAAGAAATATTACGCTTAGAAGAAAAGAAAAAGAAGAAAGAAAGAAAGAAAAAATAAAAAAATAAAAAAAAGAAAAGAAAATGATAACAAAAGAGGGTTCAAGATGAAAATCCGCAAAGGACATGAAACTAAATAAAGGATTTGAGTTGAAAAATTGAAATGGTGGCTCAAATGCATTGTGATATTACGAGTATGACAACAAAACCCTCTAGAGAACTTGGTAGTTCGAAAGAAGCTTCACATCTTCGCAACTTTGAGATATTCCAAACAGGTCACCTCAGTATATTAAAGTGATTGGTTCATGAACACCCATGCTAAAGATCCTTAGGGAACTTGACTTTTATTTCTAGATTTTCTCCTCATTTTAGATTGCCATGACTTTGTATAAATTCCCAGATTTTATGAATGAATTTCATGTTATTCAAGCTTCAGATTCATTCATTTTTAAGCATCTTATAAGTAGACTAACATAGCCTAAATTAAAATAAAAGATTTTTTGGTATTACTTTGAGTTAACCTTTAAGTGAAGGGAATTCAAAGCAAGCCATTGTGTCAGCTCTTATGTTTATTGATGGGAGTGTATGATAGAATGTGACATGATTGATATTGATAGCCCAAATTGAATAATGGACGGTGAAATGACGATAATCCAGCTCATTCCAAAGCATATCTCTAGCTACTCCTTATCATAAATAGGACCGTTGGATGAAAATCTGAACAGGGTGATATACGACCTTTAAGACAGAAGCCCATAGGAAATGTAAGGAGGTTAAACTTGAGTTGAGAAATAAAGAGAAATAAATATTATGACTCAAGCAAGGACCCCAGCAAAGAGGACAAAATTAAGATTTACAGTAAAATGATACATGCAATACTAAAATGACAACATGCATACATATTTAGGCATTTGCAAAATAGGAGCATACACATCCATTTTTATCAACGGTTGAATGGTTGACAAAAAAATTTAAAAAAAGATTCAATTCATATTTTCACTAGTGGACTTCAACAAATAATTTAAGTTTTTGAATGAGAAGTTCGAAATGATAAAAACTTGCTTAACATATACTCAATTCCATCATGGAAGGAGTTGGATCAGTATTCCTAAGAGAAGAGGTTCGTAATGAGAAGAACTTGCTTGACCTTAGTTTATCTATCACAAAGAGATGTGGATCAACATTTCTCAAATGAATAAGTTCATAATGAGAAGAACTTATTCCAAATTGGCTCATCCATCACATAAGGAGTTGGATCAGCACCAAAAATAAGCTTGATTCCATTATATAAGGAGTTGGATCAGCGTTAATCTCGGATCACCCATCACAGAAGGGGTTGGATCAATATTTCCAAGAGAATAAGTTCATAATGAGAAGAAATTGTTCAACCATGACTTACCCATCTCAAAAGAAGGGGAATTACATTCCTAGCAAATATTTAGGAATGAGAAGAACTCATAGCTCAACAGACAGTGGTCGTATCGAAAAATAGTGCTTTACGCCTTTGCTCTATTTCAGTTCCACCGCAATGAGCAAAGAGGGACAACTGTGATCACCATTTTCAACTCACCCTTTTATTATTATTATTATTAAATTAATGTATTTATTTACAAATGATCCAAACCAGACTCAAAATATAAGCCCAATAGTGGTCCCAATAATAAAAACCCTAATGGCTCATCCCATTACAACTCTTGGTAACCTTAATTTTAAGGTTAGCCACCAGCAGTCATCGCCAAGGAGAAGAAGAGTCCTGTCACCGTTGAAGTCGCTAACGCCGTCATCATCAATCATGTAACCATCACCAACTGTTTCAACCACCTCGTCATCATCATCTCATCAAAATAGCGAATAAAATACCAAAAAAAATCAAAGAATGTCAAAGATTTACCAACCATATCAAAACATCTTTAAAAAATATTAAATCTCAGTTTTAGGAAATGATTTCCCTACCCAACCTCATTGTTTTCTCACCAAGTGACTGACAATAATTTATGAGAAGAGGAGATCCAAAAAATAAAAAGGATTTGGGTTTGGAGTAGTAAGGCGAGCATTTCGGGTATTTTGTTTCACCTCCGATCATCGTGAGCGGT